TTCAAAACCTAAAGATTATAATTTTTATTCTATATTATTAGATAGTATGCACGCTTTTCTTCCCTACAGATAGAACGTATGAAGATTTAAATACTCGTTCTGAAGTTAATGATAACAATCAACATAATTCTGAAGATGTAAAAGAATATGAAAATATGAAAAGAAATTGAATATAACATACCGTAACATCTGTTTAGAAAATTCTTTGCCCATTCCAAAATGCCGTCTGGAAGCTGTGAAAAGAACGTTTAAGTAAAGGGCAAGTGCACTTTGGAATTCATTATCCACATCTCTTAAATTGTCTTCTGAATTATGCTGTTTTAAAGATGGACTAAAGAAGAAACTGGTACCTTGTTCAAATTAACTTTTTTTTAATTTTATTTTATTTTTTCATCATACAATTCATACTTGTATGATAATTTTGTAATAACTCTGTTCACCATATTCATGACATTTCTCCTTGTATATAATATACATATATATATTAATTGTAGTAAGATAGTGGATGTTATCTCTCAAGGTCCATTTTGATAGTATTCTTCATCTTAAGATTCATACTATTTTGTAAAAAAATATCTAATTTTGAAACATTATTTACAATATCTACATGATAATAAAGATTAGACCATATTCAATAGTTTCTTTTGTTATAAAGGAATATGAGACAGTTTCTAGTTTAGTCAGAAGTCACTTCGAATTTTAAATTACAATATAACAATTGTGAGTGAGGTCTGTCAAACAAAATAAACAGATTATGAAAAGTGGTGGCACAATAAATTCCATTGTGCAATACTACTTTAATGGTTGAACACACCTTCTGAGCCTTCTATTTGCTAAAAGAACTAAATATAACCGTATGTATAGGTGTTTTCATGTTTAAAAGGGGCAGTAAATTACAGCCTTACAATAAAAAAAAACTATACACTAGTAGGCCACATGTATGACAAGAGAAGATCGTCTTGTTGAATATTATTCAATAACATGGAGTATAAATGTATATTAATAGTTATAGTTTATTTACCAGTACTAATTACAGGTAAGTGATGTATTTATATTGTATTAATTTATCATGATATACAGCTATAAGACTATAAGTCTTCGTGTAGAAAATGAAATAATAGTTATATTCAACTTACGCTTAACGCATATAATAATATCATATGATATATCGAATCGCACTGTCAACTTTGACATTTCTTTATATAGATATTTGACTTCTAGTTTTACCTTCAAAATATTTAAACCATATACCCTTTATATATATATTACATGGATAAAATCATTTGATAGATTGTTGCCTTCTCTTTTCCTATTGTAGATTTTATGTCCCAAAATAAACTAATCTATAGGGATTTTATATTGAGAGGAAGAATGATCGGTTCAAACTAAAATATTCAACAAAATATCAAGTTTCTACTTACAGCAATGTGATGGCAGCTGGCTTATATTATTTTATATCTCAAAACTTAGATTGGCTGTTTTATGTAAAATAGTTGAATTCAGAATTAACTGATGGAATGATATTTCCTTTTAACAAAATAATATCATGTATTTCGTTTAAACGAAAAAAGTAATTCGTTTAAAACAAAAGAATGATATTATTTCGTTCAAACGAATTAATTATTTCGTATTACAAAGTATTGAAAATTACGCTTAAGGAGGGTTCCGTAGATAGGTAACAATAGCTAGAAGTTCTTTAATTACCATATTGTTTACAGGTCAATATACTATAAGAGGAATTCCTGAAAGTTATGCAGAGTTAGGTGAAAATTATACATTACAATGTAATGTTACAGATTCGCCTAGTGTTCTAGATTTCCGTAGAAACAATATTGTTGTATGTAATATGATAAACTGTGAGAGTAGTTCAACAGATAATAGATATAAATGTGGATGTATAAATAATAACAACAAACAACTATATCTCAATATAAGTAATATAAATAAACAAGATGATACAACATGGTCTTGTAGAGGTAATTCTGGTGGACAAGGATCAAGTAATGTATCAGTTTATTGTAAGTTTATTTTCATCTCTGTTTAATTTTCAGATTATCATTCTTAAGTCAAAATGGCAGGATAATACACACTTAATTTTCATTTTCTGTGAAGCAAAACAGTTGTCCTTTCTCATTTTATGAGCATCGTTATTTGGTTGAATTCAATAAAAGAAATTTAAAGAAATAATAAAGTGATTTTTACAGATGGTCCAGAGAATATAAGATTTAACCCTACTAGTGATAATATAGATGTTATAGAAGGAAAGAGTCAGAGTGTCAACTGTTTAGCTGATTGTAAACCAGATTGTCACATCACCTGGTCTAAAGATGGTTCAACAACAATTCTAAATAACACTTTATCACTTAGTACTAGAGATCAAACTGGTTCTTATAATTGTACAGTTAAACATACTGTATTAAATAAACAACTTACAAAACAACTTAATGTTCAGATTTATTGTAAGTATATCATACTTTAACGAAGCACAAGACATTTATTAACTCAACGTTTCACATCATCATACAGGCGGCGTTATCAGGAGAAGTGTCACTTAAATAAACAACTTACAAAACAGCTGCCAAGAATTATTGTAAGTATATAATACTATAACATGTTAACTGATTGTTATTATTTCAGATGGGCCTCACCAGATGTAACAAGTATCAATATAATAGAAGGTAGAGATCTAACTATAACATGTTTAACTGATTGTTATTATTTCAGATGGTCGTGATGAACTTGCTTTCTCACCAGATGTAACAAGTATCAATATAATAGAAGGTAGAGATCAAACTATAACATGTTTAACTGATTGATATTATTTCAGATGGTCCTGATGAACTTGCTTTCTCAGCAGATGTAACAAGTAACAATATAATAGAAGGTAGAGATCAAACTATAATATGTTTAACTGATTGTTATCAGTGTAATTATAAATGGACTGGACCTGTTTCATCACCAACTAAAGATCTTGTATTTACTCAAATAAAAAGAAATCAGGAAGGAAACTATAGATGTGAAGCTACCAATATTAAAAATACCATCCCTAAAACAAGATCTAAATCTATACAAATTAATGTACATTGTAAGTATATATTTATTATATGACCCACCTCTCTATGTCAATGTATAATCATAAAAAAAGAATTGAGCATTTTCTGATAATATTGTTATTGTGTTCGACTGAAAAGCTACTTTTATAATAATGCAAACGTATTGATAGATATTTTTCAAAGAGTATTGCTGAAAGACTAAGCTTTTGATGTTTCTCAGGACTTTTGGACAATCACAACTTTCATCCACTAAAAATATATACGAAAAATGCTAACAATTGATTTATCCATACATCACAAAAATCTATAGGCATCATCCTTGGCACGGCCCANACCTACGGAAACAATCTGTCAAAGATTGATGCCTTTAAAGTGAGCATAAATTTGATATAAACAGACCA